CTCTCTCTCTCTCTCTCTCTCTCTCTCTCTTTTATACTAAGCTGAGGTTGGAAAGTTCCTTTTCTTTTTTCTTTTTTGTGAAGAAGTAGGTCATAAACAGTTCTTTCGGGATGAAAACTCTCAAAGCGACGTCTGGATTTTCATTAAGATTACGCTTACGGTTCTCTGGTTGAACGTATGTCTCGCCTTGTTACGTACGAAAATACGAATTACCGGTGGCTCCTCTTTGACTGTTAATTCTATTTCTTTTACCTACCCCCGAGTTTCCCGAGGGACCAATTAAACAACCACTCGGTTTGAGTGGGTGCCGTCGTGTTAACACGCAAGAAAAATGGCCCGAGTGAAACTTTCGTAACCCACGTGGCGTTAACTTTTTATCACCGCGTTTAAACGAATACTTTCTGTTATATTCGTTAGTTTATTTTGTATACACCATTTCGGTATACTATTTTTTTTTTTAGAAGAACAAAACTCTAAATATGCGTAGTATACAAAAATGTATAAAATATCCTAAACAATATATTTGTTTCAATTTCTGTTTAGTTTCCATCTGCTTGGTCGTGTTTGTAAAAATATAAAACTGTGTATATCGATATATCTTACGTTATATGTACGTATGTAATTATTAACTTGGTATTGATGAAGTCGTGTAGTCATGCTACGTTTGCACTGTCCGCGCGTAAAGATATCGATGCATCAGTACACGTCTTGAATAGTTTTCACGTCATCGATGAATGATCCTGTAAGCATTCTATTGTTTTCGACGTTCGCCTTTGTCCGCATTGTGATAACTTAAGAGGTACTATGACAATACCTTTGCGAGCGTCACGACTATCCGACAGTCCTGTAATTTCCACAATCTTCGTTCAATAGTCAATATCTATTGAATCGTTTGTTCGACGCAATTGTTCAATTATTACCAATGCGTTCACATTTTTGTATGTGATCATCAAACGAAGTAACAAACGTTCAATTCAAATGTTCAAAATGCGAAGACATCGGTTTTCTCCGGCATTGAAACCCGATTTTCGAAAATTTATAGCTTTAAAGAGGATGAATCGTTTTCCAAGTCACTATCTACATCTGACAATTTAAACCGAAACAGAATGTCTCTTAAAAGATATAATTTCATTTATTTGATTCGAAATTCGAAATACCATCTTTCCTGCTTCCATCGACGTTGGCATTGAAACGTAATTGAAATCGAGAGATATTTCCTTTTTCACCTTTTTAAAAATAAAACGTCACGGTCTGCAAATAAGGTCACCGGTCTAGTGAAAAATTAGTTCCAAAGCCATGCGGGAACATTCTAGAATTCCCTAGGCACGTCGATAAAGCCGTTCCCTACCCGAATGATACAATACGTGCACAGTGCTGGCCTCGTACAACAATCACGAGAATTGTCTGCTGGCTCATCGCCGGATTCAGAGACATGAATGCGTGGATAGCATGCAACATCGGATGAAAAGGGAATGGCCGCTGCGGTACGATCCATCCCCACCAAAAACGCTGAACACCTGAGCGTCCCTGGGGGCAGCTCAGGAGGAACAGTCATTATTGCGCCAGTATAACACTCGCTTCTAGTTCCCTTGAACGAGCAATTCCAGTTTTGCAGACACGAGCTCGCGATTCCGCCGTGTTTACGTATTGCAGTCCAGGGTTCTCTCGGCTCGGCTCGCCTCGTCACGCGAAAAAGCAGGAACCGCGTGGCCGCCTCGAAAACCAATTCGATCATTCGCTGAACGCGCGCGATACGATGAGATCGTTCTCAGGAAACAACGAAAATGTGACGTGAGACTGGCATCAAGAGAGCCTTGGCAAGAACGTGACACGTTTCGCAGTCGATCGTTCGGTGTGGCACGCACTTCGCCAAAATGCCAGTGAGAAGGACCAATTTTCACGCGTTCACCAGTGCGCTTGTGTCGGTACTGTGCTTAGTCCTGGTGGCGCTTCGTGTCGGCCAGGTAAGTTTGGCACTGTCCACCAAATTTCACGCACCGTACATTTTACAGCGGTCTCCTTCACGCTGTCAATAAGTTGTAAGAGACGATTTGTAAGAGATTCTTAACCGTTCCGAGCGAAATAATTGTTATTTGTGTAGCACTCTCACGTTACGTTATAGAATTTTGTACAGATCTAGTAGATATTTGAAATCTTCTATTTCAAACGAACGTCATACTGTTTCGTTGGTCAAATAATG